ACCTAGGAATCAAACCGCCAAGAAGCCATCAGTTTCACAAATTTGCCGACATGATACCAGAGACCTGCTAACAAGCAACTTCATACTTTCTCAAGCCACAACACGAGTCTGGCTCACAATAACATGTCCGTTTCTATGTCCAAATCTTACAATTGACAAGGGTGGCGTTGTTTATGAGGTGCAAGGTACGTAATGGGTAAAGCCAATTATACTATGGTAACCCAAGGATAATAGAGCAACCAAAAACGGAGACAGTCAATTAATCACTGTATGTACAGAGTGCTTTTGGCCTCGTTTCGATGCTGTACTGGCAGGGTTGATTGAAGCCCAGGATCATTTATTGAACCTTCACATCGTTGAAGATTTCTTTCGTTTGCTGTTTTTGGTTTCCCTCACTTGGTAGACGGTATGATATAGGGAGCACAGCAGAAGAGTTGCCAACGAACCCCACATGACATATTGCAGTATAATGTCCAACCTGCCTGATGACAATAGAAGCCCAGACAGCAGAGATAATATAATTCCAGCTACCACAAAGTGATCCTGATATCGGTCGCTCCTATTGCTGTAGTAGAACACCGGCATCGAGCAGCCATAGACCAGAGTCGTTGGAATAACAGCATAGCCAGGTAAGTTAAGTGTCATGTGTCGACCATTGTAAGACTGCCACCAATGTTGTTAGCAGTGAAGAGACAAGACAGAGGAAGGTCAAAAACATGATCCAATAATGAATATCACGTACCAATGAAGAACATATCACGTATGTAGAACACGCACTGAGCGTGGCGGACACCAGGCGGAGAGATGTTGGATATCGCCAGGCATGCATTGTTGATGGGTTGGGACAAAATGAACTAAAACAATAATATATACCCAACACGCCAGAGCTTGGCGTCCCGGTCTCGGACTTTCCCTTCGCCACCCAAAGCCCTCGAGTGGTTGGCGGGAAGTGCTCTAGTCCTAATTTAGCACTAGTAGAAATCCGTGCGTTATTTTTCACTTTGAGAGCATTATGCCTAGGTTCATATCAGATCCCGCTTCTGGGAAGACTTCTCACCTTGCTTATATACTTTCAGCTAAAATCAGCTTCTTTATTTGCTGCTACCAGCAACATATATCATACCTTTTCGCTGTCCCTTCATTATACAAAATACGGTGTCTCCTTGTAGTCATTGTAGTCTTTTCCTACAAGACAGAATCATTTAAGATCCGAAGCAACCCATGTTCGTATCCATCGCTTAACATATTTACACTTTCATTAAAGAAGTTCGTTGCTATCTTCAAGACCACTTATCATAACCACTGCCCGCCACCACGTAAATCCCACAGAGACTCGACGCCCCAAACTCTATCTGCATAAAGGTACAATGATTCCAAAACTCAGCTGACTCGCGTTTTGGATCATCTGGTATGTCAATCGACACCCATGTAGAATATGCAGCTGATAGCCAGAGTCGTATCGTTCCAATAACGAAGCGACCACCTTTGAGGTATGGCGAAGGGCACATGTTCTTAAAAATAGAATTCTCCCCTGGAGGAATCTTTGTGCCATTCGGATCGCGCTTTGCGTGATTATCTGTCAAAATGCGATCCTGTTGGTGGGTCCGTGTTTTGGGTGATGGGGATGGGCAGGTCTTGTGAAAGCATAGTGGAAGTCTGGTATTAGGGGGTACACTGTAATCCCCATTCAAGCCGCCACCCCTGCATCAGAATTCAGCCCCGCTCGAACCTTGGGACTAACCAACCAAACTCTGCATATATCTTTTCATTGGATTCGTTTAGTATTGTGAGTATTGCCACTAACTCTACTATCCCTACAATAAAGAAATTAAACACGCCTTGGTGGAGTGTCTTCTGGGCTTTTGTTGGGTAGTTGGTGGGGGCTTGGGGTTTGTTAATGTAATAGGGCCGGGACCAACAGGTGAACCTTTGTCTTCATTACCTTGCTCATCTCCTTGCTGCATAAGACCTCCTAGCCTCCGTGTACTATGTATACCGAATCCTTCATTAGGAGTCGTCTGGCCCTTGGTCGAGTCTGTTTCTTGCGGCTCTTTCCGATAGGCTGCGCGTAGATCATGGTTTACCTTGTTGAGCCACAGTATGCATTGCCTAGAATGAGGAGACGAATGTCCCTTCGGGCCTTTGTTGTGACCCGCTAAGCAGTTCATCATGGCTTTCTAATGATAATTGACTCCATATGTTCTCAAATGGATTTTTCTCAGACACAAATTCGTTCCTTGGCTAACGACTCTTTTATGAAGACCACAGGAATCAAACAGAGTCCTAAGTCCCGATGCTTTATCTTAAAGAGGCTCGGGGAGATCCAGAACCGGAATACCCACTTTTTGGATACCGGGAGTCCCAAATAATAATATATAGATTTATGCTTCGAAAATTGCTCATTCTTTCTCTTACCTTATCCTGCGGAACCGTCAAATTCCCTGCATCGAAAGGGATAATCTCTTTGGTATCATCGAGTATAATGATGTTAGTTTACTGCCTTGTCTCCATTACTTAGATCTGGGGTACATACATGAGCGTGTGTCTTCCAAAGGAGGTGACTGAAATGAGAAACATGCAGTAAATGGTAAAGGCTGGCTTAAGCAGATTAAAAAAAAAGACAAGAACATGGGAACATCCTGATCCTGTCCTCTCTCCGTTTGACATTTGTAATGGGCATGGAGGTCTAGAATCACGCATCGTGGCCATACGCCGGTAAAGCATTATTCAACCCCAATACCTCCAACGACTTGCCTCTTCATGAAGACATAGCTATTCCAAACACATAACTCACGCGCTTAAGTTCATTGCGCGTATTCAACCTAGTGGTAGATGTACATTTGATAGTTGGGCTCTACGGTCTTCATACCTTTCTGTAACGGCTGGCTAACGATGCCATACAGGATTCGATTGCTCATTGGCTATTTACTTTGGGAAACTATAGGTTGCCATCACTGCTGCGTCGAATTAGAGTACAACCTGCGCCGTCGCAAACATCACTGCAGGGAAGAGGTCATGGTGGTTGATGGAACTATCATACTGGATAGATAGGAAATATAACGGTCTGTACGTAGGCCAAGGCATCTGTTTCCTTTGTTCTAGCACGGATTCTCATCTTGTGGGGTGAAACTGATGGCTTGTTGGAGGGTTGATCTTAGATATTGAACCAAGCAGATGCCAATTACGTGCCTGAACAGTTCCAGTAAAGCTTAACATGTGAACAGTAATTGGAAAATGGCTAAACCAGAGCCTAAGCAAGTCAGGGATGAGTTAACAGGTCATAGCTACCCGATATTATAATAGGGGTGAATTCACACCCTCATACTGCCGCGACAAAACTTCACGCTAGTGAACAAACCTTCAATGTCTACAACGCATAATTAAAGGCAAAATATAGTCCTAAGTGTGTGCGCAGGGCCTCATACAGTTGGCCCAAGCTACACAGACGTTGGCCGGCTGCAAACTGATACTAGTCTCAGTTTTTTGAGGGACTTAATCTATAAGTTCCAGCAAACAGTAAAGGCCGTATTTCATATGACCCTATCAAGACTGCCACAGCCACTACGGCTTTTACCAGCAATGGGAGGTCGCTCACGCAATACCTCATTGTCATCTTGCTCATTTCATATCCTGGAAAATGTTATCCAACCTGCGCACAACCCAACCCATTCCTGCGAAGAATGCGACACCATACCAAGTATTCTTAAACGCAACACTCACAATTAAACCACAAATGGCGGCTATAACAAGGCCAAGGAGACAGGTAGCTAGACGGTAACGTTGGAGAAATCCCACGAACCGGGATGTCTGACATACTGCTCGTTCCCAGACGTATCTGTAGGCAACCCAAATTAGTAGTGCCTAGGATTTCCATGATAGAGCACCATACCAGTCCTGCCCGGAGAGCTATCAATATTCATAGCTCCTTCTTGCTGTAAAGAGAAAAATATCTCCAGATAAGTCACATCCCAGTGCTTCTAAAAAGGGTTTTCGTACCGTCATCCGTTCTTGGCCGATCAACAATGTCTGGGGATGAAGGTAAATCAAGAATACTGTGAAAGCAGCGCGCTCGACAGTCACTATACAAATATAGGGAAAATTATTGCTAGTATGAGTTCAAATCAAGGTTCAGAGAAGATAAGCATCAAAGCTTTCGGGAAGGTTTATAGCTACAACTTGCTTAGCAGGCTATGAAGAGATTCAATGATAAAGACAGGATGGTTTGGAAGAGAAGAGGAATGACCATTACTTGGGAAATGGCTGACATGGATCAAGGGAGCCGTGAGGAGAGGCGAATATGACGTAGAGTATAAGTAGCCGCGCCCAGAGATGACAGTAACGATAGCAAGGTGGAGCCTCAGCGGACGTGTGGAATAGATGGGTGGATCTTAGCAATTTGATGATGTTCCTCGGCTTCGCCTGCTTGCTGCATATACACTCTCCTTCCCATCTTAAATAAACACTCAGCTAGCCCAGGTAGTGAGTCCCTCTGCAGCTATACCTGTCGCCTTAGTCGCTGGTTGTTTTGTGCCAGCTTTTAGTGCAGTAGGGTGTCGATCCCCTTTGGATGCAAGTAACGATGGCACTCTGCATAGTCGTTCCACATCCCTAATAGGCTGAGGTAAAAGAACAGTAGTAACTAGACTGCAGCTACCCATCCTAAGCAGTATGCGTTCGTCTGCTTTTATGAATATTTCTGTCTCTGACCAGGTGACTCTGTAAATGATTTGAGAATATAGGCTGAGTCATGAAGTATGATTGATGGTTTTGCCTCCCACTCCGCTGCTTCTCGTGACCATGACACCGCATCTAATCCGCAGTCATCTCTCTACCGATTTGGAATTTAATACCACCATACTATTACTACCCTACTGAGCGCGTCTGATATGAACCTCTTGTGTGCTAAGTTTTGTACCTAGTATGCCAATGAAGCACATTTTCCTTGTAATCTTGACATTAGACTAACGCTGGTGACAGGGCGCCCACACTCAATGAGCAAGATGACGGAGCGTCTCGCTTCTTTGCCTCTTCGACTGATCATGTCGACTGAGATTGAACCCAATGCTATGGTGGAAGTGGACTTCACCTCGCAGGATCAAGAATCTAGGGGTATGCAACACTCAGGTCCTGCTACCACGAGTTCCAACGCACACAGTGCGAAAAGAACTCTCAGTATGATAAGCTTTCACTAGATTCTGGACAGTTTTACTTACATCTTGTTCTGCCCCCAGATACCCTTGTCCCGGAGTCCCCAGCCTGGACTGTTCGGTTCGATCGTTTCGTCCAGCAACACCGCCTCGTCGTCTGGCTTTTCGGCGGCGTTATCGCGTCCGTTTGCGGCCTGATCATCGGGTTTGCCTTGGGCAATGCCTGGTATGGCGTTGGAGCCTTCGGCCTAACCGGCTGGTACGTTAAATGGCTCGATGAGATCTTGCAGGATAAGCAGGCGGATGACGGACCTGGCTCTGTATCTGTTCGCATCTTGGTCGCAGGGTGGACCAAGGCCGAGCGTGAGCAGGACATTGCCGATGCTGAAATTGGCATCAGCAGTTGGTCCAGGACTGGAGGCCGTGCCGGACCTCGTGTCTGATGGCCAGTGTTATCTCTTTGTTTCTGACTTATTACTACAGATTTTTTAGGAGTTTGGTATTGTTGCTATTGATTTTGCAGCGAGTGGTGACTGCGGGCTTGTCTTACTCTCGCCCATTAGATGGTATGTTGCATATTTCTTTATGATCTTCTGCTCGGTGTTTCGGGCCTGCGAAATATCCATGGGGAACTACCAGGACCAATGCTGGTGGACTTCCTTTCACTTGTTGACATCTAGGAGTCCCATGTTTGTTTCAAGAACTATCACAGCAGGCATATAGCTGGTAACCTGATGCCTCTAGAGTATCCAAGTCTAGCTCACGCAACCGTCTTGGCAAGGTAGACGTCAAAAAGAACTGTAGATCATCAAGTGCGGTGATCCTTGCTAAGTGGTAGTTTAGATTAAAAAGTAGTAGGCCATAAAACGTTTATGTATAGAGCCCAGACACGGGTATTAGAGCTACATCGAAACTATCAAGGCCTCACATCTTTGTCAGGGTCGATAACAAAAGACATATTCAGAGATCCCTATTCAGAGATATTCCACGAGACTGGCCATAGGTGGAAGACTTAGTCTCCTTAGACTGATCGCCGTAGTGGGGTTTCACATGTTTCAGAAGCTGCTGTGGAACGTTGATCCCCCATCCCCTGTGGCTCCGCTCCCTGGCTTATCATCTTGTGATACAGTGGGGTGCAAAAAGTATTCGACCACCTCATCTTACCGCCTACTAGTAGCTAAACCTAGTTAGGAAGGAGAATACTAATTCCATTAATATTTCGTATACCAACCATCTGCCTCAATAACTGCCTTCACCCGGTTAGGCATGGTCCTTGATAGCTTTTGAAGAATAGTAGTATCTATAGCTTGCCATGCCTCCTTAGCTGCATGGATAAGTAATTGACGTGTTCCCTCAGTATTAGGTGCATCTTCCAGTTCTGGATAAAGCATATAGATCTTCTCCTTCATAAGTGACCAGAGGTTCTCAATTGGATTGAGATCAGGAGAGTATGGAGGCCAAACCATAATATCAATCTGTAGAGAATCAAGCACCTCTCTCACAATCCTTGCAGTATGGATTCTGGCATTATCCTGCATGAAAATATCACCAGGCTCAGTAAGCTCAGGAAGCCATGCTTGATAGAGATCTCTTATCACCCGGCCTGATACCCCCCCTCGTGGAGCTTCTGGATCACCATCCAGAGGGACTAAACCTGTACGTATCTCTTCACCAAAGCCTGCCCAAAACATCTGTCTAACACCCTTCCCTGTTCGTCGAGTGCAGACATCATGCTCATGGAGTTGATCTCTTGGTCGTCGGAATGTCCAGATTGGTCGGATACCAACACCTCTCTCAACTGAGCACTCGTCACTCCATTTAACACGTGCCCAATCTTCCGGTGTAAAGTGTTGATATTGGTTTGCCCAGTTAAGACGAGCTAAGGCTTGTTCCCCAGTAAGAGCTGGTCGACGAAGCTGTCTCCATTTGCGAAGACCAAGTTCTCGAAGAAGATATTGTAATGCTCTCTTTTTCACAGCACCATCTACCTCAGTAAGAAGATCTTGCATCTTTAGATGAGGAGAAGACTGACTTAGATCATAGAGATGATCCCTCTGCACCTCACTAAGCTGGCGAGGACGTCCAGAACGTGGTTTTGATTGATTATCAACGCGTTTTCGTTCATTCAAAACAGTCGATTTAATAGTTGAAAGAGGCACCTCAGGATGCTTAGCTCTAATCTTAGAATAGCTCCATCCAATGCTCTTTAACTCGCAGATTCGTGAGCGTAATTGAGGGCTCAATTCTTTGCCTTTACGGCCCATTTTGGTTGTACCGTTGTTGATATCTAGGTAATGGATAATGGATATCTACGCGTTTGGTAGTATTCTGCTGGCAGAATACTAGGCGGTAAGGTAAGGGGTGGTCGAATACTTTTTGCACCCCACTGTACGATCTCTAGTCTGGTCTGGGGAACCATCCAATAGATAAGCGTCCATCATCTGACAGTGGGGTAGCCCAAGTCCTTGCTGTTGCCAAGAGCTTCCGGCAAATCCGCGTTGCCGGAACCGGCCTAACCCCACCTACCTACTGATCCTGGTTTGCCACACCGGTGACGACACGACGCTGCCAAGTTTGTTTTAATAAGATATATGCCCAGGCACTACTGACTCATTTTGAGAAGGATATAGGTGCGCTTCTCCCATTATACCACTATTAAGGGCAACGAAGTTTCCAAGTCCTGTATAGCAAGGATGCATGCCCAGAAATCCCTAGCTTCTGTTCGCCTGGGATCTGGCGCGGTCAGTGCTTGCTCTACATACATGATATGTTCTTCACTGGTGTGTGGACCTATATCCTTTCTGTCGCTGCTTTATTTTCTGATCGAAATGTTCCGGATGCTTTCAAAATCACTGACTCCATCGACGGTAGTCCTATGACGGTCAGCAGATGACAGTCAACTTACCTCGCTACGCCATTATCCCAACGACTCTGGTCTATGGCTGCTCAACACCATTGCTCTACTACGGCGGTCGAAGCGATCAATATCAGGATCGTTTTGTGGTAGCCGGAATAGTAATATCTCTGTTGTCTGGGCTCCTAGTGTCATCAGGCAGACTGGATATTATGCTACAATATGTCATGGCGGGTTTATTGGCTACTCTCCTCCTCAGCTCACTGTTTCACATTGTCAGCCGAGGCCTATGGAAAAGAGACGACATCACGGGCGATAATGACGCGAAGGTTTAACGATTAGGGGCAGCATTAAGCCTTGTCATGACAACCGTGGAGTGGGCATTAAAAAAGTCTTTTGGTGGTTTTAAAAGTCGTCGGATATAGGACGTCCGTGTTATCATGCTGTGAACTACCCTGGGCGTGTAATAATGATCTCTTGTGTGTCATGAAATGGGGCCAGATGATAGTGAAAGGATAATGCCCTCCACACTAGGAACAAGATGGATACAGCTTGTCAAGTGCTTTGTAGATTATCATTTCAATTCTACCTTCACCAAGACAGCAGCAACTAGATAAGTGCCAGTAATCCCGTCATGACATCAGAAAAGGTGACCAGAGAATCAATGGTACGTCTGCTCGCAATAGTTTAGTGCAAGATGGCAACATAATGGTAGACAGTGCACCTCACGGCCATGAGCGATCCATTAGCACCCATTCACATCTATGGCGATGCCGAGGCCGCCATCGCAGGTGGTGGCTGGCCGTTACCCAACATAGTCCATGGTGTTCTGGCTGTGACAGCCGCCTCGATGTGAAAACGGTACCTAGCCACAACGTGCTCAATGCAGTGGACAGATAGATTGAATAACCTTTCTCATATCACAAAAATTGACAACCTCAAAGTGATGGCCAAGCCAGTACTGACTGGGCCGGGCTTTGGATACCTGGAAGGCAGCAGGAGTAGTCGTGAGTAGTGTTCTCTGCTTGTTGCGTGGTACTCTTGCAGTGTGATCACCATCGCTTGGCAGTGACATTCAGGGTGAGGTCTTTGTTTCTGGTCGTTGGGACCTTTGCATTTGGCTCGAGCTGTTGGCTTGATTTGGAAACGCTTTGCTCTCTATCGTCATTAGATGCTAGCTGTGAAATGACTCACCTCTCCTGCGAATTGAAGAGCCATCAGGTTGGCGGATCCTCTGCTCATCCACATTTTCTTCCACTGCATATTGCTCGTGCTTCTTGGGATGCGGTTGATTATCTTGTATATGAAAGCGGGCTGGTCGTCGGACAAGTGACAGTGAGTGGAGATCTGTTGTCTTAGCGGAAGAGGTTCGCTGAATCGTACTTTCTTGACATTAAGACCAGCGACATTGTTTGGAACAGCGATGGCACTTCGTCTTGTATACTTGTTTATTTCTTACTCCCTGGCGCCTTTCTCCCATTTGAAAGGAAGGAGCGCACGGCTTTGCAGGAGATCTGATCTTAAGAGGAACAGGTATAGAGCAATGTGAAGAAGCCAATCGAGCCAATGCAGCTTTTGAAGATGCAGAAGGAGCAGTTCATGGGATTGACGAGCCGAGTTTCTTCGATGATGAGTCCAAGTCAATTGTGCTGCTCCACCATATCTGTTGTTTGGGTTTGTGTTCCAGCCATTTTTGACGAAGTAGTTTCAGCAGTTGGTTGGACAATCTCAGCAGATTTGGCAAGCTCATCAGACACAGCAGGCTAAATATGTTGAGTAGTCGGGTAACTCGCGCTGCCTCGGCATGATTGAATACAGTGCGGGATAGATCTTCTGTCAGGCAGTTGGTCTAATGATGTGGACGTAAGTTCAACATCGAAGAGACTCTTCGAGCACTACATAAACCCACAGGTTGATGCACAATCGTGGCTCTGACGAATCCTAGTTATCAGTTCATGATTCTAGGCGGCAGGGTCTTGCGTTGAAGAGTACCTTTGGATATAAGCAAGGCTGGCCTGTTCCGCAGTATATTGGCTGCATTTCAGACATTCTAGGAGGATAGAACGCCGTCAATGTCCGTAACCTGCTGGATGGTAGGATGGGGATGTACGCAGATGCGGTAATGCACGTTGTAAATTCGAAGCGGGTCGCTGCCAATATCGCTGGTCATGTATAGCTCTAGAGCCTTATCTCGTGACGATCGTTTCTCGGCCACTACTTACCCTTACGCCTGAACACTGCCCATCTTGTGCTTTCACCTAGCACTGTTACCCAGGACCGAATGCTGGACTTGAAGCATTAATAGCAGGGCGCGTGTTTCGAGTCCCGTTCCTAACTAGCTAAAACGGCGTATCTGTGACGTGTCATGTCGGTCATCATCTGTATCTATATTTCTAATTCTGAACGTCTTTTGGAATGACACTCACAACCCTCGAGGACCCCGATCGCTTTAGGTCAGATGCGAGGGTTCTAACTGGCGAACAACTGGAGGGTTTGGACACTTTGAATTGCATCGATGAAGAGTCACTGGGCGGACACTATCGGGTGGTCGGGACTGCGTCGCTGGGAGAAAGAAAGCTGCGAATACAG